CAAATTTCGTTATATTTTTAGAAAAATATTTCTATCAGGGTGGGCACCAAACTTAATACGCGTACCAATGTTTTGACGATGTAAACTAGGTTTATATTTCATTTTTATTGACAGAGACAATGCAATGACATCATTAATCACTTTTAAATTAATCTAAATTTGTCCAATTAAAAGAATTAATAGAAAAGTGTTTCAATAAACATACATTTTTCAAATCCAATACAATATTTACCGATAAAACTTTTTGACTTATTAGCGTTAAGTCACAACTTTTTTTCTTGTTGTTAATTATGCAAAACTTTATTCAATTTTTTAATTATATCACTTTAAAATACATTTTAATATATACATATTTTCAGAATATAGAATATACACGATTTTACATAAGATTATATTGAAAAACACGTCTTATTTTCTTTTACAGGTGCAAACCATTATTATCTTCATATGATTCTATATTTATTACATATTGCAACTGGATATCTGCAAGTTATAAAGAAAGTAATATATATGAAGAAAAAAGGAATATGTGTACAGTACATTATAGGAGTAATAAATGCCTACAAATGACTAAAAATACGATTTGGTTTTGTGGAGATTATTTTCTTGCTTATAATCGCGCAAAGAATGGTACCATTAAAAAGGATGAAAAGATTGTGGGAAATAATAGCACTTTTATTAAATCTATTGCTCTTTCCGATGATTATATTATAAGTGGCGACGTGTGAGTATTTATTTATGAACTGTATTTTATGTTTATTTTTATTTTATTTTTGACAAAAATTCTTGCAGATATGGTATTATTAAACACTGGAGAATTGAATCAAAGAAGGATAAAAGAAATGATCTTAAATATTCAGTAATACATGATGTAGATAAAAAAATTAATGTCATAGACGCAACATCACAACACATTATAATTGGTTCTTACAATTTAATAAAGGTAAGATTCAAGAAAAATTGCAATAATGCTATCTTAATGTAGTATGTAAAAGTTTGTTTTGTCGTAGATACTGAAATATACAGACGAATAAAAA